TGAGGCTGAGGTTTCAGTACCAGTGACCCCCCCCCCCCTCCCCGCACATGGGCTCCATGGGTCCGTTTCTTGGCGTCTGCTGAATTCTCGTGGCGACACCAATAACGTCACCATACACACCAGGACGGCTTTGCCTGGCGGTAAAGCCAGGAAGTGTACAGCCACTGATCTCCGTAATGTTGCCAGACAAATGTATCCTCAGGTGTCTGTTCCCAGTTCATCTGCTCCTTAATGTGTCTATGAAAGCGTTTATTCCCAGCCAGCGTATTTATCACTAGTACTACTGCTCCCTGGTTCCTGCTCTAGTACTCTGTGAGGAAGTGATGTTCTGTTCTGTTCTGTTGATGTGGGGTTCTGTCCATTTGGTTTGAGGGTGCTTTTCCACCATACCCGGTACCGTAATTTTGGTGCATCAGAAAAAGAACCGGAAATATCGTACTTCAGGGAATTGGTTTTCCACTGGCATAAAAACTGATACCGTCGCCAAATGACATCACAACACCAGGCGGGGTATTTTGGACTGAATGTGAAAAATGGCTGCAGTATATTATAAGGCTGGACAATGTGCAGTATTTCAACAGAGGTTCTGTTGATTTGTGGCCGTTTGCTCTGAGACACTGGTGGAGCTATGTGGAGGTTCTCTTGATGTGGGGCTCTGTCCTTTTTTTGAGAACCCAGCAATGCTCTGTGGAGGTTCTGTTGATGTGGGGACATGTCTGTTTGCTCTGAGAGCTCAGCAGGATAATGTGGAGGTACTGTTCACATGGAGTTCATCATTGATTCACTAGGCAGTTGTGTTTTAATCTGACTCGCAGAATCGCAGGTTCCCATTGTGTAATGAGACCTTTTCACAGTTTTCAGATTTAGCCTTTGCTTTTGTTTGCTAGTCTACAAGCTCAGAAGCAAGACTCTTCTTTCTCAAGCATCCAGTTTCCCCTTTGCTGTGTCGTTAAGCCCAAGATGGTAATTTACCGTCACACCGCACCGTGCATTTATCCTGACGTTCCAGCTCTGCAATCAAGCGGTCATGGTCATGTCCAGCCACGGCGACTCACATATGGGACACCTCCTCTGTGGGGACACCCTGGAACTCTGCATCACACGGAGTGACCTTTGAAGGTGCTTTACACTGGGATGATGCAGGGGTTGTGTGCTGATGGCACCACGCCGGGGGATGCTGGGGCTTCAGAATGTCCTACAGCATCAGCAGGTATAGGACCAAGCGGTCAATCCCAGGATGCATGCCGTTTCCTCTCCCGCTTCCCACTAACTGGATTGATCCAACCACCGTCCTTCATCGCTGGCGGCCACATGCTACCTGTCATGGCCCATCTGTCACACAGAGTGAAGCGCTGGCTTCGAGCACGTCCTTCTAATAAAGCACACAGAACTTCCCGTTCTGGTACTGCACTTTTCTGGATGGTACGGGAGCCCGGGTCTGCTAAACACAGACAGCTACGCCGGTCCCCTGCCATACCCACGAGGGTCTTGGATGGGGAGACCCCCTGATGCCTTCCTGGTCCACATCATGGATTGGTGCAGGATTTAGGGCTCCTGTCCGCAACTAGGACCCTGAGTGATGGGCGAGCAGCAGGAAAAGATTTCAAAGGTGTCGGCTACTGCCCAGAGATGCCCTAGCGCTCTGGATTGGCCGTACCCCACCTTATATTACATTTGGAGAACGTACTTATTTATGTAATTATACAGGCAGCTCTGGGCGTGAAACACCGATCATCCAGACTGGCTGCATCTGGGGTGTCAGGTTGGGGGTGTCACATCTCCCAGAATAAGGGTGGACTTTCCTCTGTTTTGGTGCCTGCCCCTTCTCGTACGTCATCTACACCTGTGGGTGCAAGGGGTGCCGTGAAACTTAGCCTCACTTTGATTTTATGCTACATGTCATACATGTCTTGTGACCGGTGCTTTTTGCACGTGCCACAGAAGGCAGTAGAGAGCGCATCAAAGAGGGGGTGAACAGAGATAGTGAAGACGCGCTTTCAGCCCGTAACACAGCAGAGCGGAAGAGGACACGCAGCTAGGCTCAAAGAGGCTCAGTCGAGCGGTGTGCGAACACACCATCGCGAAAGGCCGGGTCCCTCACCGGTGTCGGCTTAATTGGCTTTTTGGCTGTGAGGGTGTTTACAGCTTCCTCTGGTAAACAAAAGCGCTTCAGTTATATTTGGATTTGGATGCCTTCTTTCTGTCCTGTCATTTCATTAATTAGAAATATGACGGTTCCGTTTATGGAAACAGATCACTATGGATCTCTGTCAATCTTGTGAAATAGCGGCTTGTCTGGGCGTAGCAGAGGTATGAGTGCACAGGGCGTTAAATGACTCCCCGTTTGCTAGAGACTTCAGGTATGTGCACAAGGGTTAAATATATATATATATATAAATAAATATAAAATACTAGGGATGTCACTCAATTATATCAATAATGAAGCAATCTGCCAATTAATCTGATGATTAATCAAGTAATCGCCACGCACACTCAGGGTGAACATGTAAACTCCACACACAGAGAGCAGCGGCGACATTAATATCCATCCTCTGGGCTCGCACAATGTGCCGTGTTAGTATTGACGGGCTGTTTCATACACATGCGATAGCTAAGCAAATTAAGTCAAAGTGACGATAAAAACAGGCTTGGCTACTCTCAGAGGTTAAATTGCAACTTGGCGTTATTGGATGAGTCCGTTACACCTCAATGTCTTCTTTTAAGATATTTCGGTTGTCATGTGATGGTATGTTAGTTCGGTGTTGCAATACTGACAGACGACTGCATTTTCATTCACTTTTCATGTGAAGTGCTTCCAGAGAACTGATGCTTTCACTCTTTATTTAGAACCTCATCCGCTATACGGGTCTTCCTTCTGCTATATCGCTGAGTAATCCCGAAGGAAAATTTTAATCGATAATCGAATCTAATTGAGTAATCATGACAGTTCTACAAAATACTTAACAGATTTACATAACTCCCCAGTGTCGGAATCCTTTTAAGTGAAATACTGCCACACATCCGACTGTTAGTGTAGATTCAGGCATTTTCACCATGCTTAAGGTAGCTATTAGCTAACTGTAGGCGTCTGCTGACATCAGAGCAAGTGTAATGTTAACTAGTGATGGCATGTGAGGTGCAGTGATGCTTCCGTTGCCTGAACACCAGAGGGCAAGTATTTCAATCAGTCAGACATTTAAGTGGCATCCAAAATCTGTGTCGCAATTCGGTCCATAGATACGGTCTAAGATTAACCTCGTAGAGTTACTGCAGTGGGATGGGGTTTCCTGGAGGACATCCTCAGAGCGTTGGGGGGCAGGTAGGAGAATAGGAGGGCTGCTGCAAACGAAGCAGCATCCCCCTCCCCCCCCACCTTGTAAATCAGCTCCTGGCCACACCCCTCCCCCACTGCAAAGGAGCCTGTGATGGGGAAGGGGGTGTAGGAAGGTTATGATCTTGCTGTGCCTCATTGTTCCGTATCTGATGATTTGTGCGGTTCGGTGTAGTGTTGGGTCGCCTGTGTGAATCCCCCCCGCCCCAGATCACACCCTATACCCAAACCCTGACGCATCAAGGGTGTTAGGGGTTGTAGGTACCCCGAGTCCCTGTTGGTTGGTGGGGGCTTTCCCCATGGAACCAATAGTGCTCTCATGTGACCCCATTTAAGGTCTGATTGGGTGAGGGAGTGAATGTGGAGCCACATGGGGGGGGGGGTCAGCGTGAGCCAATCATCCCTGATGGTGATCAGCCAGGCATGGGGTGAAGACCAACCCCTGGCGTGACCCTGAGGGTGCAGCTGGCTCGTTGCGGGATGGGGGTCTGTCTTTATGCCTGAATGAATTCAGTAAATGTTCCTCTCAGGGTAATGAAACATAGCTTCACCTTGCAGTGTTTCGGGGGGGGGGGGGGGGGGATCTTTAACCCTAACAGGCTCATCTTCTCAGACAGCGGGTAGCTTCTGTTCGTGGCTTATGAAAACACACACACATCATGCTGGGTGTCTGTGAAAAGGCCTCGTAGCATGATAAAGTGCCGGATGCTTTCATGAGTCTGGGGACTGTCGCATGCCAATGGTGTCATTGTCACGCGTGGTGAGGTATCACGGCTCCCGTAGAGAGGTCCAGCACGACGCTCTGAGCCGACCTTGGCAGTCAGGGATTCCATGCTTCATTTGATTGGACAAAAAGAGGACAGTATGGGATCTGGCCAGAGGAAGAGGAGGAGGAAGGTCACCAGGCAGGACCACCTTCATCCTGGCGGCAGTTTACATTTGGGGGCAGCGTGTAGCCCAGCTCGTGATGGTGCTGTGCCTAAGATCAGAAGGTCACTAGCTTCAAATCCTGGGTTGGTGAAGTGATACTGAGGGGCCCATGATTGCACCAGGGACTGTCTGAACCTGCTTTCTCAAATATGTACGCCGCTTTGGCTAAAAGAGTCCACTAAATAAATTAAATGTAAATTTGTGTATTGAGCCAATTGGAGCAGACTGTAAGTGTGAGGCCACATGATGAAAACTAAAGGGTTCTGGAAGCTTCTGTGTGTCACCCCAGAGAAATTACCTCAATAAAACACCAATAAAAGCACAAGCAGCCAACGTGAAGGTGTGATGGAGTCACCACAAAGGTCCAGTTCATTGAGCTTATCCCACTGCTCTGACTGGCCTGACTGGATTTCCACCAGGGATTCGCTCTAGGTTTTGGGTCCATATGGACCTGCAGACCAGTATCCCCATCACAGCCATTACACCACTCTCAGCTGCTCTGGTTGCAAGGGTGGGCACACATTCAATAGCTTGACCCTCCCCAAGACTGGGAAAATGTCAATAACTAATTTTTTTGCTGTTTAACACCCTCCACAGAGTCCTGTGTCCCATCCTTCATCTTAGTGCAGACTTGTAGTACTTGTGTAGTTAAACTAGAGGTGCTATAGTATCAGGTTTCTACCTCAATATTTAAAAAATGAAAGTAGGATTCCTTACTGACCGGTTCTGCTTTTTCCAGCAATCATGTATGTCATGGGAGCACTGGGCCCAGCCGTGGGCTACCTGCTGGGAGGGGTTCTGATCGGATTCTACGTGGATCCGAAAACCATCGTGACCATCGATCAGAGCGACCCGCGTTTCGTGGGGAACTGGTAAGCTTCAAGCGAGGGGGTGTTTGCTTGTGGTGTTTGGATGATGCATGGTGTCTGCAGATTTCATTTGTCCCCTGAATTAGAGGTCAAAATCATCTGTATGACATGCTGTGAGCTTTCTGGCGTGTGTGTGTGTGCGTGCGTGTGTGTGTGCGTGCGTGCGTGCGTGCGTGTGTGTGTGTGTGTGTGTGTGTGTGTGTGTGTGTGTGTGTGTGTGCGTTTGTCAGGGTGCTGCATAAAGATGTCAGCCTTGGTTAGACAGGCCTTCTGGTATCTCTGGTATCACTGCTCTTGGGTTTGACATGCTGTGTGTGTCTCTCTCTGTGCCACACAGGTGGAGCGGCTTCCTGCTCTGCGCCATCGCCATGCTCCTCGTCATCTTCCCCATGTTCACCTTCCCCAAAAAGCTTCCTCCACGCCTCAAGAGGAAGAAGAAGAAGAAAAAGTTGGCCACCGACGACGTCTCCAGCGATGAGGACATCATGAAGGAGAAGTCGGGTAGCAAAGGCCAGACCGTCACCTCCTCCATGGGTTTTGGGAAGGATATCAAAGGTACTTCGCCCCCTGCTGGCTCCTGCGAGCTTCCCACGTCAATCCCGCCGTGCTTGGTCGTGAATGAATGTGTGAGCTGTATCTTTACCATGGACCTGGTGAGCTTTTCATCTCTGCTAGTTTGTCACCTTGTGTGGAGCATTCAGCCCAGTAGATTTTGTCCTCCATTCCTTATATTGTAGACAGCAGGTTCCTGGTGCTAGTCTCAATGACCTTCATTGGGTTTCTCATGATTGCTTAGTGGCCTTCATTAAGGGATGACATGGAGCAACTATAAGCTGTGAAGAACCGCTGGTGCAATGTTCAGGCTCACCACGCCGCCATTAATCGATATTTTATAGACGTTATGTTGAAGACATCTCTGAACAGCATCCATGAGTGTGAAATATGAGGTCCTTAACCTGTCATGTTTCACTGGTCTCCTGCAGCTCCAGGAAAGACTCTGTCTCACGGTTGTGTATGGCACCGGACTCACAGAAATAAATCTTTTGAAGCTTTGACGGTCAGCAGGAAGGTGAAATCTCTTTGCCCTTAAGGAACCTGATCCTGTAACCAAGGACCTGCAGTCCCAGAAGGAGAACCGCTTGTGTACCGTCGAGATGTGTACTCAACCAGTTTTCTGAACCACCTATTCCTGTTATCGATTTTGGCTTCAACACCTTTTAGGAGCTTCTATTCTTAGAACCTCAAACCTTCTAAAAGGTCCTATTTTTAGTACCTTCAAAACCTTTTAGAAGGTTCTAATGTTTCAACTTTCAAATTATGCCCCTCCATCCTGATGCTAAATCAAATTTAAGAGTGTGAAATGTGGCCTAAGAAAATTGTTCCACAATGTTTTCTAAATCACTCTTGACAAATGATGTGTTTGTTACAGTATACACTGCATTGACCGGATGCATTTTACAGAAAGATGCTACGTTTTTTTTTTTTTTGTTTGTTTTGACAAGTAAAGTGTCCTCAAAGTTTGAAGCAGATTTACATTGAAGGGGTTTTGCTCTGCCTGGGGCCCTAGGGGGGGCACAGCCTGACACCCTCAGCTGGTGCTGGTCCATCCATTAGGATCCAGTTCCAGTCAACCCATTTGGCAGCCGCCTAGGGCACTGTCTTCTGAGGGGGCGCAGACTTAGCCAGCTGTTTTCACTTTGTGTTATACAGGGGGCGCTGGCAGGAAAGCTTGCCTGGGGGCAATACTACCTTGAGCTTCCCTGAGGAGTAAAGGCACCTCCGGGTTAGATAGACAGTGGACCTCAGCCATGGAGTAACTCGTCATTTCTTCATTATGGTTGTATTTCACTTATTTTTCACAGGATTTAAAAGCTTTTGTCATTCATAACAAGATTAGAAAATCCAATAAGCAGTTAACAGTCTGACACTGTCAGGATCAATTCGGTTAAATTCCTCTAACCATGTTTCCCTCGTTCTTGGCGATAGAACATTCTGTCTCCAGAATGTCCAGAATGATTTGATCTGCCTGGATTGCTTTAAGAACCCAGTCCAGCTAACCGGGTAATAGTGCATGAGGCAGTAAATCCTGCAGTCTGTCTGAGCAGAGCTGGGCAGCTTTACTTGCCCCCACCCCCTGTGCTGTTGGGTTCTTTCAGTCGTCACCGAAGCAATGTTGTGGAACCTCAAGACGCTGACGTAAAGATGCAAGGTTATCAAGTCTGAGCAAGACTGCGGGCCTCAGCTGAAGCTTAACTTAATTCAGCAGATATTTGCCCTGGTCATCATATGAACAGATCAGAAGATTAGCAGTGATGTGACATAATCATCTCCAGAATGATAAAAGTACAGCACGTCTCTTTACGGAGACATGTTAATGGCAAAAATGACCTTCGACTGGAGCTACGGCAGCAAGCAGACTGCTGTCCCTGGGCGTGTCAGCCCCCCCGTTCATCTGCACTCATCAGATTGTGGCTGTTACAAACTCCTTTGGATATATGTCAGGTCTGAAAGGTTCACCGTGTGTCCCTGCAGCCAGGGCAAGGGTCTCAGAGGTCCCGGGGAGGTGTTTAAGTTTGCCTTAGTGAGCTGTTTCACTCTGTGCTCCTCACCAGAAGGGTTTTGGGTCAAATCCCAGGTGGGCAACACTGACGCACCAAAATGACCTCGATCACTCCTGAACATGCTGTAGAGATGAATGATGGGTAAAATATACCTTTCCGTCACCTTGAATAACAGTGCAGGGCAGGGATTCGCTCAGCGTAATAATTAACCTGCCCCTCCCTCCAATCTGGAGACATCTCAGAGGATTGATATTGTATCCCTCATGTTGTGTGTCTGATTACAAAGGCTGGTGGCTCAGTGAATGGAGGGGTTTTATGTTACTGTCATCATCTACAGTAACACGCTAACAAACGTCCCGATTCGCTGTTAAACACGGCATATTTCCTAGCTGCGTGTGCAGGACGACACCGATGCAAATCGGAGGTGTTACTGGTTCAGGAAGCTCAATGCCATGCTTGGTGTTACCAGGAAGGACCACATAAAGGGAAAGATTTAACTGCAGATGGACCTTCCTGCGGTACGAGTCCTCCTCATTAAACGGGCCGCCTGCTGTGAAATGAACCGCTGAATGAATCTGGTCCCGCAGTCGTAAGTCAAAGCAAGGTCCTGATGCTGCTCTGGACAGCTGCCCTCAGGATGCGGCTCTGTAGCCCCAGGGCCTGGCACGGCCTGGGGTGTCAGCAGCCTCCTGACCCCCTGCCCCCCTCCCCGCAGACCTCCCCCGGGCCGCTGTCCGGATCCTGAGCAACATGACATTCCTGTTCGTCAGCCTGTCCTACACGGCGGAGAGCGCCATCGTCACTGCATTTATCACCTTCATCCCCAAGTTCATTGAGTCCCAGTTCGGGATTCCAGCGTCCAATGCCAGCATCTACACAGGTGAGGGCTGTGTGTGTGTGTGCGTGTGCGTGTGCGTGTGCGTGTGTGTGTGTGTGTGTTTGTGATATGCAATTTTAAATCCTGGTTTAATCCTGGTTCTGCTGGCAGGAAGCTATACTGAGAGACAGGCTGCTTCCAAGCTCAAAATTTCTAAGACAGAAGGAGACAATAACAATGTGAAACAGGAGACAGTGGCAATGACCAAAAACCAGCCAGGAAGAGAGAAGAAGCAACTTTTCGATGCCAGAGATGGCCGTCGACTTATTCCGCAGTGCCTCATAAATCGGAGGATAACCTCAAATGACCTTCATAAGGAATGGGAAACATTAAGTGGTGTGAAGTGCACTGATAGCATGGTTAGGTCTGCTAGGACTCCTAGAAGACCATAAAGACCTATAAAACTAGGGAGAATCCATTCATCAATGAGAAGCAGGGAAGAGCCAGGCTGCAGTTTGCAAAAAAACAGGAACATACCCATAAACTGAGAAATGAGTGAAACTGAAACTTTTGCTGTCCTCTGGGCGTGCCCTATCAGGCTGTCCACTGGGCATGTCCACTGGGCATGTCCACTGGGCATGTCCACTGGGCTTGTCCACTGGGCATGTCCACTGGGCATGTCCACTGGGCATGTCCACTGGGCT